GCGTGCAGTGTCCGCGGGTGCGCGCGGCTGGCGGAGGAGGCGCCCTCCTGGGTCCAGGCTGCGGCTGTCTGGGCAGGTGGAGTCATCCACGTGTCCTCTGCCGGCCCATCCACAGGCGCAGCTCCGAAGGAGGGGTTCCGCTACTGATTCCATTTCTTAACAATGCACCCACCGTACGAATAATTTCGTGAAACGACATCTTGAGGCGTGGGTCCCGGACTGGCAGTGTTTCTGCATAGCTCCTTGGGCCTGTGCTCTGCCTTCTGAGGGCTCTGCCCGAGCCGCGGGCCATGCCGACACAAGTCCCCTCCCCCCCCTCCCTAGACCATCGAGAACATCAAGGTGGGCCTGCATGAGAAGGAGCTCTGGAAGAAGTTCCACGAGGCGGGCACGGAGATGATCATCACCAAGGCGGGCAGGTCAGCTCTGGGAAATGGACTCTGGGGGAGGGGATGATGGATAGAGCAATGGGTATCCCCCAGGGCACCCTAGCAGCCTTCGGGGTCTCCAGCCTGGGAAGGGGGAGAGGAGGGGAACGACGCGAGTTCCCCCCACCGCTCTGGCCTTAGCCCCAAGTCCGGAGAGTACTTCCCACCCCACCCGCCAGGGAGCGCGGGAGGAGGGGGCAGCACTATGTAAATGACTGTAAATAAGGTCGCTGCTCTGGGACTGGGTCTGGCTCCAGCAGTTTTGGCCCCCTGGGCAGCTGCTTTGTCCTCCTTTTGGGGATCTGCAGGGTTTTGCAGGATTGCATTGATGGGCACCTGGAGATGCCCCCATGGGGGAAGGGAAAGGGACCATGTTTTCCTATTTCCATAACGTTATGGGGGCAGCACGAACCCCAAGTCTCTCATCCCACGGGTGCGGCTTTCCAGTGCCAACCCCCTCCTTGGCCAGGGGGAGGCACATTGGGCCCTGTGTGTGTGTTGTTTGAGGAGCAGCTCTCAGTGGCTGCCAGAGAGGGATGATTTATAAAGTGGAAACATCTTTAAAATGTGCTGGTGTCTGTGGGAGAGGACCGGGAGGAGAGGGTGAGAGGAGGAAGATGCAGATGGGCTTGACGGAGAGATTGGCTGGGGCAGTGCGTCTGGGTGGGGCAGCGGTGGAGAGCAAGAGAGTGGTTCCCAGGTGAAGGGAGATGGTCGTAGACAGAGATGCTGGAAAGTTCAGGTTCAGGAACCCCCCCCCCCACTCCTCCGCATACTCACACTTGATTGTGATCCCTGGGGGACAGGTTAGGTGTGAAGCTGTCCCTTGGCCTGGCTGTGGGCCCATAACTGGGTTTTCTGAAGACTAAGATGGTGAAGTGTCAGGGCCAGGAATCTGGAGTCAGACAGCAGGGGCTTCAGTTGCAGCTCAGCTACTTCCATCTGGGCAACCCTCAGGCAAGGGTCTCTGCCCCTCCTCATCTCCAGCTGTAAAATAATAGGTGTGTCTCCATACGGTTGTATGTAAAACACTCAGCACACCTCCTGCACTTGTAAGCACACAATAAATGCTAGCTATAACATTAATGTAACAAATGCTAATAATGTGAACCATAGTTAAGAGAAATGTCTGGTATCCACTCAGCATTTCCCCCCTACTTTTTGGAGAACGCTGTTGAACTGCTTAGGCTCTTCAAAGGAAACAAAAGGCGGTGGTTTGCAGCGTAGGGGTGCTGGCTGGCCTTGTGAGGTTTCCTTTATTTTGTTGGGGGTGGGGGTCATGCTTAAATCAGGGAGGTGGCCTGGCCACTCAGGGTCTCTATTAGGAGAGGGAGCAGTTAGATGTCAGGGCCTGAGTTTGCTGCATTTGGGGGATGGGGAAGGAGGATGCATTAGGGGAGCCTGGCTGATGGTTCCACATGGAGTGGTCATTGAGGTCAGTGTGGGGTGGGGGTAGGTGTCACAAGCCCTGTCTTTTCCTAGCTGAGTGCACTTGGGCAAAGCCTGAACTTCCCGTGGCTCAGTGGTGCTAGGCAAAACAGAGATGGTGACTGCAGATCTACGGTAGTGCGAGACTCAAACCAGGGATCGTGTGGGCGGTGCATGGTCATTTGTTGAGTGGATTACAGGTGTGAAGAGGGGGGAATTTAGTTCTTGCGACGGCTGTGGTGGACTGAAGGAAAGAAGACAGAGAAAGATTCAGAACTTCCATTTTTAGGCAGCAGAAATAACCTTGTCTCTAGAAAATAAATGGCCAGCGGGTTCTTTGGGCATGCCTGGCCTCTGCCATTTTCAACAAAAGGCATTTGTGATTTTTCTCAGTGGGGTTTCCTGCATCTGCTTGGGTCCTCCCTCCCTCTCCCCAAAACACACACACACACACACACACACACACACACTTTCAGAGGTGACTGGCTTCAGGCAAAGTTTTGTGCCTGATTCTAGTGGAGGCTTAGAGATGGGCCACAGGGACTGATGATATAATTTTAAAAATGGTTGTGATGATGTTGGCCAATTATGGATTCATCACAGTCTTTCCTTTCTCTGGCAGAGAGTTATCCTTGCACCAGGTCTAGTCCTGAAGAAAGCCACTGGCCTTCCCCTCCCCCAGAGTTCTCACAGACTCTTTTCCTCCTGCATAGCTACCCACTGACTTCAGAGGCCACTTTGAT